AAATTACAGCTCTGTTCTCGTATTAGAACTTTTACATATTTATGTGCTTCACAGTCTGTTTTATATAGTCAGAGATTGTATTTTAGCTGTAATTTTCCGCTCAGGGTTCAAGCGCTGGCAGACCGTCCTGCAGCTGGTAAATATCTCCACGCTAGAAACAACGCAACACGCCGTGCCAGCATGGGGTCTCCTAGTGCCAGCTCCCCGCTGCTGCCAGCTGAAGGAAATGGGGGGGGCGGACACACACCATGGTCTTCTCTTAACTCCTTCACTGCCAGGCTGACCAACAAAGGGAACACTTCGAATGGAATTTGGTCTATCTATCTATCTATCTATCTATCTGATCGATCTATTGCCTACCTGTCCGGCCAGTTATCATTTATCCATCCATCCATTTATTTATCTATAGATCTGTCATCCCCACACAGCTCCCTCCTCATGTATCACTTGCCCCTCCCTTTTAGATTGTAAGCCCTCAGGGGCAGGGCCCTCCTTACCATCCTGTCTTAATTTGTATTGTGATTGTATATTGTAAAGTGCTGCTCAAACTGTTGGCGCTATATAAATACATAGTTACATAGTTACATAGTATTTGAGGTTGAATAAAGACATTAGTCCATCAAGTCCAACCTATTAGGATCTCATTCTAGGAGTACCTGTACCCCTGTATATTACGGTCCCTTAAGAAATCGTCCAAAAGTTTCTTGAACAATTCCACATTATTTGCTGAAATCACCGCCTGTGGCAGTGAGTTCCAGACCCTAACTGATCTTACTGTGAAGAACCCCCTTCGCCCCTTGTGCTGGAATTTTTTTTCCACCAATTTTAGGTGATGGCCTCTAGTTTTTGTAACGGAGTTAATTTTAAACAGTTTTACTCCTGTTTAAGGACACTCCAATTTCCTCCTATTTTGTCATTGGTGCCGATGTGCACCATGACAACGGGGTCGTGCCCAACCCCATCTAGTAATCTGTCAATTCGTTCCGCAATGTGTCGAACACGAGCCCCCGGCAGGCAGCACACTGTTCGACGCTCACGGTTCCGATGACAGATTACCCTGTCAGTCCGCCTGATGATGGAGCCTATGTAATAATATTAATAATAATCTATTTATTATCTATCTAATTATTAATGATCTGTCTATCCATCTATCTATCTATCTATCTATCTATCTATCTATCTATCTATCTATCTATCCATTTCCTTCCTTCCCTCCTTCCTTCCTTCCTTCCTCTCTATCTTTGTGTGTCTATCTAAATGGAATGGGACTGATAATGTCAATATTGCAGATATCCCAACTTCCGGCCGTCCAGGAGAGAAACGATTTCTCCCGATTTTCACTCAGTCAATCAGCAGAGGGGGACCTGAAGTTCTCCATCAGGTCCTCTTCTAGTGATTAACAGCAGCAGAGGGCAGGTGCAATAGCCAGCTTGCTATTGGATATTGCAAATTGAAATCGCCAATAGGAATCTAGCTATGCATTCCTATGCTGGTTTTTTTTTTTAATTATTATAATGACGGCCGCAGCTTTCAGAATACTAAGAATACTAGAATTCTAAAAAAATACAAAACCTGCAGATAGCAAAGAACCTTGTTATCTGCCATCATTTTAGGGGGGTGCTCTCTTACCCCCCGTGGATTGGGGGGGGGGCAGAGGGCACCTCCCTGAAATGAGAAGGGCACCTCCCTGAAATGAGACGGGCACCTCCCTGAAATGAGAAGGGCACCTCCCTGAAATTGCTTCTTTCAGGTTGGGATCTCTGATAATGAAATGCTTCCGCCTGTACACATAGTTAAGATAACAGAATGTTGAGGAGGAACTGTCATGAGAAAAGGAAGCTGCCATTGCTGTCCTCTGTTTTTAACAATGTCAGTTGCCCGTCATGTCGCCCCTCTTGGTCATTCATTCTTTGATTCTCTGGATGAGGGTAAGTATGTGAATATCGTCCTCTGAATTTCCAGCTCTGCATGCCTGTCCGGGGATCATTGCCAAGTGTTAGGATGTGTAAAACATGAATGCATACCACGGCTTCGTTGTTCCTTCTGGTAACATTGATGAGTATCTATAATACAATACAATCAGAATTCCGAGCATTCCGTGAATTATATCCGGAGCTCCACGGATCTGTCTGTGTCTGCATTTTATTCCCTCTTGCACCCCGCTCCCTCCGCCCCGCTCCTGACGTCCATTGACAATAAAATGAATGAGACTTTTGGGGTCAATACATTTTAATTCGTTAAATGAAGAAAAATGCAGGATGGCAGGCGGCGTATAAAGATATTTCTGTACAGGGAACCAGAGCTCCAGCGCTTCCCACTGCTAACTCATCTCCTGTCAGCTTCCTGATGGATGCTGCTTTCACGGGTCCCCTTTACAATTAATTCATTCATTCGCTCCTGTGGGTTTCACACTGAGATTTGTTTAGGTTTGTCTAGCTTGGGTCGATGCGTCTGTAATATTTCATCAAGTGACAGAAAATCTGTTTTCCTTTGTTTTTTTTTGCTGATTCTATGTATCTGCAGAACATTGCTCCTGAAAGTCCTCTTCTGCCAAACATCTGCAGAACATCTCACCTACCATGCACTTCAATTGACCATTGGTTACAGCAGGGGTCAGCAACCTCCACACTCCAGTTGTTGTGGAACTACAAGTCCCCCCAGGCATTGCAAGACTGAGAGCTACAGACAGAGGCAGCGGTTTGATGGGATTTGCAGTTTCAGCACAGCTGGAAGGCCGAGGTTGCCTACTCCTGGGTTGCAGCTTTTTCCTTTTGCTGCACTTTGGTTTAGCAAGGCAAAGAGCAGTGCGCAAAGAATAGTAACCCTTAAGACTTGTTCAGAGTTTAAAACCTGATCCATGAATATTGTAGAACAGATGTAGGCAACCTCGGGCACTACAGCTGTTGTGGAACTACAAGTCCCATGGGACATTGCAAGACTCTGACAGCCACAGGCAATGCCCCCAAATCAGGGCTAGCCAACCTCAGCTGCTGTGGAGCTACAAGTCCCATGGGGCATTGCAAGACTCTGGCAGCCACAGGCAATACCCCCAAAGCAGGGCTAGGTATCCTTAGCTGCTGTGAAACTACAATCCCCATGGGGCATTGCAAGACTCTGACAGCCACAGGCAATACCCCCAAAGCAGAGCTAGGCAACCTCAAATGTTGTGGAACTACAAGTCCTATGGGGCATTGCAAGACTCTCAGAACAAGGCTAGGCAACCTCAGCAGTCCAACTGTTGTGTGGAACTTCAAGTCCCATGGGGCATTGCAAGACTCTGACAGCCACAGACAATACTCCCAAAGCAGGGCTAGGCAACCTCAGCTGTTGTGGAACTACAAGTCCCATGGGGCATTGCAAAACTCTGGCAGCCACAGGCAATACCCCCAGAACAGGGCTAGGCAACCTCAGCAATCCAGCTGTTGTGGAACTACAAGACCCATGGGGCACTGCAAGACTCTCAGAGCAGGGCTAGGCAACCTCAGCAATCCAGCTGTTGTGGAACTACAAGTCCCATGAGGCAGCCGCATGCATGACTCCCAAAGACTTGAAGTGCCGAGGTTGCCTACCCCGGCTATAGAAAGAAAATGATCAGTGTTATTTATGGAGATTTTTAGGGTCTGCGCACAGACAGGCATCAAAAATGGCAAATCAGCCACCAGGCCCAAAATATGCCACATACACCTGGTGTAGATCTGATGTGTTGAATCACTTACACTCAGAAAAGGGTCACATTGTACCACGCCAAAGGAAGGGCTGGGCTATATACATGGCAAGCAAAAATAATTCTGTTCAGCCAGTCTTGTTACCCAGGAAGCAGGCAGTATAGCCTCTAGCGATGAGGCTGGGCTTGGTTTGAACCTAGTTCATCTGACTTGGCCCAAGCCCACTCAAAACTCTAATTGCCACCTCCCGACCCAATCCGTGGCAGCAGTTGCGGTAGGGCCGTTCAATGCCCCTTTGTGATGTATAGCTGTGGGGTGGGGAATGCACCTTCCTGCTACTGAGTGGACTGGGAGCAGGGGGTGGCGGCCTGAGTATTGATTGGGTTTGGGCGGCCTGATCAATACTGGCTGTTTGGGGTTGGTGAGTCCACACCAAGCCCAATGTCATCACTTATGCATGGCCACTTTTCTCCACCGCAACTCAAAAAATACAGCTTGGTCACAGACTCGCCTCCCCAGCTTATTAACTGGACAATGAATAAAGAAAAATCACCATTTCATGTAGTAGGAGCCAATCAGTTAGGCTGCAGTGTTAAGAACTGACATGCTGATAGGAGGAGAAAGCACAGTGACACGGAGATGATCTCATCAGTCTGGTGCTTCTCCTTTCACTGTCCAGTCATAAGCTGGGGGAGGGGCAAGACCTGTAAGTGTTACTTAATTGCAGCAGAAAAGAATGAGGTCCTTTGGCAGGTAAAACAGACCGTATTTAGGCAATAAATCTGTGTATTTGGGCTTTTTGTTCAGCTTTAAATTAAAAAAATACCTTTTTTATCATTTTTAAATAAATACATAACTGATTAAAATGGTGGTTTTATAGCCTTCTGTTCAGCTTGTTGGCATGACTGCATTGTCTGGGTATCTTTTCCTCCCCTCCCTCTCGCAGCTGGAAAAGTGCTGACCATACAAACGGTGGCATTATGACGCAGCATGAGCTTCTGCCTCCCGTGCCTGTGTAGACATAATAGAAGCCTGACATTTTATTACCTATCTATACATATATTAAACACACAAATGGCCCACCGGTCCCCTTCTCTATCTATATACAGGAGCCTTCCCACTAGAGCCAAGCGGGTGATTGTACAGTTGTCCATCAGTTCTTCCTGTCTCCGTTCTGTCTGTCAGAAGCTCTCTGGCTCGCACTCCATTGTGGAGGGATCAATCAACTTATATACAGTTTGTCAAGTCTGTGTCATCATCCGGGAGTAGAAGATTTCCACGTCCATCGGGTCACTGTCAGAATAAGGTGGCGAGACAGAGAACGAGGCCACCAACGTAGAAAATGCCTGCTTGCTGGCGAGAGATCCCCGAGTGTTCTCCGAATATCGTTAAGTCTGGTGAAAGGTCCGGGTTTAGCTGCGACTACAAAGAAAAAACAACAAAGACAAGGGTTGTAACAAGTGTGTGCTGAACCAATAGAATCCAACCACAGGACAGGGCACAAGATTAGCGCAACATATCAAATAAATCTGCTATAAGATACTGTATGTACACCAATCAGTCATAATGTTATGACCACCCGCCTAATATTGAGTAGGTCCCCCTTTTCCTGACCCATCGAGGCATGGACTCCACTAGACCTCTGAAGGTATGCTGTGGTATCTGGCACCAAGCCGTCAGTAACAGATCCTTTAAGTCCTGTAAATTGTGAGGTGATCGGCCTCGATGGATCGGACTTGTTTGTCCAGCACATCCCACAGATGCTCCATTGGATTAAGATCTGGAGAATTTGGAAGCCAAGTCATCACCTCAAACTCATTGTTGTGTTCCTCAAACCATTCTTGATCCATTTTTGTACTGTGGCAGGGGGCCAGACATCCCAAATCTCCCGGACGCTCCGGGAGTCTCCTGCTACCAGATAGCGGCTCCCGGCCACCCGGGAGAGAAACATTGTCTCCCGGAAAGGTTTATTCTGCTATATCTAGCAGAGTAAACCTTTCCCTGCAATTTGTTTTTTTTTTTACATCAGTGGCTTCGGCCGCTGTCAGTCAGATAAGGGCACCTCCCTGAAATTGTTTTTTTCAGGTTGGGATCCCTGGGGCGCATTATCCTGCTTAAAGAAGCCACTGTCATCAGGGAATATCGTTTGCATGAAGGGGTGTACTTGGTCAGCAACAATGTGTAGGAAGGTGGTCCACATGAAGTGACATCCACATGAATGGCAGGACCCAAACAAGGGGCCCAGATTTGAAGGTTCTCGTGTATTGTGAGTTGCTAGGGGTTCCTTGTCCCTTGCCAATTTACCAAATCAGGGACAGATGGGATCTATGTTACATTGTGAAGGACAGAATGAAAAAAAGGTCAGTCCCTCCAAACAAAGGACAGTTGGGATCTATGTCCAGGTGTGAGGGACAAAATGAGTAAAAAAAAGGACAGTCCATCCAAATCAGGGACAGTTGGGATCTATGTCAAGGTTTGAGGGACAGAATGAGTAAAAGAGGGTCAGGCCCTCCAAATAAGGGATGGTTGAGATCTAGGTCAAGGTGTGAGGGACAGAATGAGGAGAGAGGGTCAGTCCCTCCAAATCAGTGAAGATTGGTATCTCTGTCAAGGCGTCCGGGACATAATGAGTAAAGAAGGATCAGTCCCATCAAATCAGGAAAAGTTGGGATCTATGTCAAGGTGTGAGGAAAAGAATGAGATACAAAACACAGGAAAAAGTTGTAAAATGCAGAATCAGGACATAAGGAAGGACAGGCACTAGAGACAAGCGTTGGTGTTTAACAGAAGGAATGGATAAAGAGAACGAAGGCGTAGCTGACCCGGTGGAAGTACAGATCACAGAATGAAGATTCGGGTACAGAACCAGGACATAAGAAGCAGAATGGGGCTATAAAACTCTAAACTGGGTTCAAGGAATAAAATGAGAGTAAACAGCAGACTGAGGGCCCTGAACACAGAAAGAGCACACAGCTTTCCTACAGAGAACAGAATACAAAATGGGGACATACATAATGAAAATGACAGTGTGATACCCTGAATAGGACATAGAAGAACAGAAGTATACCGCTCACAATGGGTAAACAATACAATGCTCCATACAACAGCGCAAAAAAAGAGAATAAAGGGGGGGAAAAAAGCACTAGGCAAACTAACAAAAGAGTACAAAAAGGAATGAGGACACACTACATGCTCTGTGATTACCAAACAAAAGAGTTATAAATTCATAAATGCACATAGGTAGCAGAACCCGGGAGCATAAGTATAGTGTGCAGGGTACATTTCTAAAACACGAGTCCTCATTGTCAAAGTACTTTGTATTAACCCAAAGCCAACAAAACTCTAAAGCTGGTCATCCACTGCTCAAATTATACATATATGTATACACACACTGTATGTATACATACAACGTATATACTGTGTATATAT